ACCATCATCTTATGAAATTTTCATTGTCTGAGCAGTACTTTTCTATCACACGATAGGCTTGATGCTTCCCTCCACTTCAACCAACCAACTTGAATTCTACTAATAACATCCTCATCTATATCACTATGAATTTGAACAATAGACCCGAGATATCTAAAACGTTCACTCCTTTTAATGATTTCATCACCCATAGTTACCACCCTGCACTAGAACGACTACTACTAAAATTATATTTCAATGTATTGAGTTTTAGATCTACTCAAATGAGGAACTTTAGGCTCCAAAGTAGATCTCCACAATTCAAGTTTTGTTCTGGACTCCTTCTCTAGTCTTATCCAAAAGAAGGATATCATCAGCAAAAAGCATAAACCAAGGTACATCCTCTTGTATATGTCCTAGTAAGAGATGTTCTATGCCTTAGGTTTTCCATTTACCAAGGTAATTGACCTAAAAGAATTAAACCATTATGAGGCTTCAATTAGTAAAATGCTTAATATTTGTTTTTTTTTCCTTTATCATGTGTTTCCTATTTGTTTTATTGTTTTAGTATATTATATTATTTTCCTTTATTATGTCTATAAGCAAACCCTAAACCCTAGAAACCCTAAACGTAAAAAACCCTAAACCCTAAACCCAAATCCCTAAACCTAAACCCTAACACAAAATTCTAAACCCTAAACCCTAAACCCTAAACCCTAAACCCTATAACCCTAAACTCTAAACTATAAACTCTAAACCCTAAACCTTAAAGCATAAAACCTAAACTCTATATACTAAATCGTAAACCTTAAACTCTAAACCCTATAACCCTAAACCTTAAACTCTAAACCCTAAACCCTGAATCTTATAACCCTAAACCCAAAGCCATAAACTCACTAACTTCAAACCAAAACAAAAAGTTACTTTTCATATTTCATTCATATTAGTACCAAATCAAAGCACAAACCCACAATTTGGCTTATTAATCAGATTTATGCTTGGGACAACGTATTCTATGTGTAATAATCGAGAGTACTCAGCGGAGTGAGGTCTCTGGTATTACATGCTGCTAACGAGAAGTTGGTAATGTCTCTAACTATTACTAATGCAATGTTCTATGTTTTCCTCTGTGTTTTTTTTCTTAGTTTGAAGTTATTGATTTTATTTCAATTTCAATAAAAAGCAACTCCATTTAATTTCATTCCATGTGCTTAAATTCAATCATTGAAGATATAAAATGTGTTATAAAATAAATTAAATCTTTCATCAATGAAATAATACAGTTTTAGTTCCAGTTATAGAAAATATAATGCTTGATATATTTTAGACTGTTAAAATTTATTACTAGAGATGCAGATGTACATAGTAGTGAATAAAAATAAATGAAAAATATTTTGTTTTTCCAATCAGTGCTTGTATTTAGGGGTGGAATTGAATCAAGGGTTTGTTTGGATTTTACCTTAATTAAATTGCTCGTCAGCTAAGCACAATGAGCTAAAGGGCCTTGTTCCAGTCAAAAAATGATTTGATAGCTTGTAAGTTGTCTTATTTAAAACATATGACTATGAAATTAGTTTTAAATATCTTAAAATATTTTAAACTTATAGAAGGGAATAGGGGACGGAGCTTAATGAGGGGAGTAGGATGGATCTCAGATATCACCCATTGAAGTGCAAATTAGAGAGTGAGGAGGAAGCTCTAAGAGCTTAGACGGACAAGCCAGATAGGTAGGGAGATGAGTTACTCACTCGTTTTACTGAGATAAATATATAAGGTTCAATTTGGTAGATTTTGTTTGATTATAATTTTTTATTTTAAATAGTTTATCAATAATTTAGTAACTAATTTTTTTAATATTTAATTAATGTTAAAACATTAACTAAAGATTAATTTGTTTTAAAGAATTCTTATTAATAATTTATTATTGATTAATATTATCATACATAATAAAATTTTAATTAAATTTTATTAATTTTGATAATTATAATATTAATGTCACTTTAAATTCATCATTGAATTAATAAATTTAAATTTTGAACTAAATTGTTAAACAATTTAACTTAAATTTGTGTTTAGCATTTGTTGTACCAATCATTTTCTTAGGCTTTAACACCGACTTGTTAAATATGAATTTATAGGATCTATGTAAGCTTGCATAAGAATTGTTTGGTATGTATGTATATGCGGGTAAAGAAGTTAGTCCATGAAACTAATGAAACTAATATTAGGATAGGATCTTGGAATATAGGTACTCTCAATGGTAAATTAATGGAATTAGTTGATATTATGATTCATAGAAAAATTAATATCTTATGTATTCAAGAAACTAAGTGGGTTGGAGAAAAGGCTAAGGAGATTGATAATTTAGGTTTTAAACTTTGGTATTCTGGTAAGAGTCGCACTAGAAATGGTGTAGGTGTAATTATAGATAGGAGTTTGAAAGATAATGTTGTAAAAATTAATAGAGTTGGTGATAGAATTATAGCCCTTAAGATTATCATTGATACTAAGATTTTTAATATTATAAGTGTTTATGCTCCTCAAGTAGGTTTAGATGATAAATTTTGGAATGACTTAGAAAACTTAATACAAATGATACCTCTTGAAGAAAAAAATTTTATTGGAGGAGATTTAAATGGACATGTCGGTAGAGTGGTAGAAGATTTCAGAAATATTCATGGTGGCTACGGTTTTGGAGTAACTAATGAAGAAGGTAAAGTTATTTTAGATTTTGCTTTAGCGTTTGATTTTGTTATTACTAATACTTTATTCAAGAAAAGGGATGAACATCTTATTACTTATAAGAGTGGATCTAATAAAACACAAATTGATTATTTTCTTATGAGAAGAAGAGATCGTC